TGCTTACGGTGATGTCTCGAAAAAACTAGTGCACAAAAACTGAATCTTTCAAAAAAAAAACGAGATTCCAATTCTTCATTTTTTTCCAGAAAATTAAACTAAATAAAAAATTCCCGCCGGAAAAATAGCATGTCTTTCAAAAAAGGGGTCTATGTCGGTCCATTAGAATTTCGAATAAACCGAAAAGTCAAAATTTCCTTTTTCGATGGAGCCGCAAGATAAACCCATCTACCAAATGGGCTCTTTTTTGGAGGATGGGGGGAAATTTGCACTGCTCAGACTGGATTAGGTTACTAATTGAATTTCTGAATTCTGGTCTCTTTATTTTTTAGTTTAGCCAGAAAAAAGGAAAGAAAAAACAACAAAATAAAGAAGAAGAATTTATTAAAACGAGCAGTTTTTTTTGAGAAAATTTGGCATACATTGAAAACTTTTTAAAGGCAAAAACCGGTTTACACACATTTTAAGACACTAGATTCTAGCAAAACATTAGGAGAAAAAAGGAAAATAAAAGCTCTAATGTAAGTATTATTTAAATAAGTATCTATCCAAAAATATGGGTCGAATCAGAGAAATGTACATGTATTGTTGAGAAGAGAGAGAGAGAGAAGAACCAAAAAGGAGGGATACAGTTGATTTTTTTATCTCCGAGATAAAACACCGTGAATTGCACCGATTTTCGTAAGGGCATCATTTGATGTTCCAGGTGATAATGAGAGAGAAAGACTACGATGTTGAGGAGATGATGATGGAGATGTCAGAAGCTGAAAATAGGTTTTTAAAATAGTGTAGGAATCGAGGAGAGTGTAGAGAAAAGATACTGTAAAAACTGTATTTGAAGAGCGTCAATACTGCCGAATTTGAGCCAATTAATCTTGGTTCTTGTAAGTAGGGTTGACAGCGGGGCGCCCCGCTTCGCGCGGGAGCCCCCGAAAGCGAGGCGGGGATCGCCCTCGCCCCGCTTGTTGAAAAAAACAAAAGTACGTTAAATGAAAAAGTAACCTGATTTTTAAATTTTATTACGATTAACTAAGCTACCCTGAAATTTACAAGCCAATTCTGATATTTTGATAAACATTTTATCAGTTGACAACTTTTTCATATCTTTGACAGGAACTAAGAAAAATTGGCTCAAAGATAAGCTTTGGAACCCTTAGATCACAAGTTTTAATGTATTTGCACTTTGAACTCAATTATCTCAATTTGGGTAAGAGATATCAAAAATTTGCTAACTATAAAAATAATGACGATGTTATGATAAACATTTTATCAGTTAACAAAATTTTGGTATCTTTCATAGGGAGCGAGATAATTGAGCTCAAAGTTCAAATATGGTATTTTAATTTTGAGCTCAATTATATCAGTTTCGGTAAGAGGTTTCAAAACTGTGACAACTGATAAGATTTTTGTGATATTATGATAAACATTTCATTAGTGGACATATTTTTGATATCTCTTCTAGAAGGAGAGATAATTGAGCTCCAAGTTAAAGTATTGGACATTTACGAAATATGGAACAATTTAGTTTCCTATAGAAATTTTTTGTAAATTTCCCGTTTCTAGTTTTCCATTAATCGCATAGACTGGCATGGACTTAGTTTTACATTTTCCATCTCCAAAAAATCAATTCTCACCTCGGCTCTCGTCAATACTCCTTGTCGAAGACCCAGTGCCAATGGTTGATGATCTCCAGGCGACGTCTTCAGATTCTGAATCATTCTGACGCCATAAGCAACACTGAAGTCGGTCCAACTAGTGTCATGTGATTGACGTCGGTTCTGGAAACCGCGCAGAAGTTTAGAAAGGGACACAGCAAATTATGAGGCTACAGGCAGTGTTAGTCGGAGAGACCAAGGGAACTACCGAAAGTTAGTAAACTCTGGAAGACGTTGAGAGTTTACAGGTTTTTATGGTCTTGAGACATTAAAAAAAAAAGTAATTTTTTCAAAATTTTTTCATTTGTGTAAGCCTCTCGAGGAGTTGAACTTGTGGGACGAGTATGGGAGGTGCAACGCCGCTACCGACTGAACCGCGAGCGCTGAGCTAGAGCGGTCGATCGGGTGTCAAAACATCCTAGTTTTACAAATATATGCCAACCACAACAACGAACTTCCAGAATTACGATAGAAAAAAGGAAAATAGAAGAAACCATCTACCTGACTACTACCGAAAAACTGTTGCTGATCGATACCTTTCCGTTGACAAAACGCTGCAAACTCTTTTTGCACCTGAAACTAACACAAACATTTCGAGAGTTAGTATAAAGCTCGGAGTTAGAAGTCACCTCTTCCCTAGCCTTGATAATTTTCAAGGAGATATCCAGATCACGAGTTCCAGGCATTCCCGGTTGTCCGAGTTTTGGCTCAGCGTAGGACGAATTGTCTTCGATTGGTTGTTTGGTGGACATCGAAGGCATGTCGACGCTGTGAGCATGTGGGCGGTTGCCTGAAGAAGGAATTGTTAAACTCAGGTTGTCCCGTTTAGTATTATGCAAGTTTAAATTTATAGTAAATAATTTATAATTTTGCCAAAATAATTGGAAGTGAGGCAGTCTGAAACAACACCAGCAGCTTCAAGCAAGATACTCTTAGAGCTATTCTTTCAACCAACAAAGTAAAATGTATGTGTACTTGATCTAATAGAAGCCTACCGTATACATGTACTTTGAGCCAATTTATCTCGGTTCTTGTCAAAGATATCAAAATTTTTCAATTGATTCCTTACTGATCATAATATCTGCAATACATTGCAGATATTATTTTATCAGTTTATGAGAAACCAATCAGACTTAGATTAGAATCAGACGACTTTCGTTCACATGTTCTACAAAGATTTGTCATTTTTCTGAAACGGAAAAATCTGAAATTAGTGTGATCTCATTTTCTCTTTACGAATTATTCTTGAAAAATTTTTCTCTGTTTCAAGAATATGTTTTCATAACAACAAATACTTGTAATCAATGCGTAGTATGTTCCCACCAAATACCCCAACTCACCAATATGCAACCTCTGCAGTTTGCTCAAATTGCTCTTGCTCGGACTCGAACACGGTATATACTTTCGCGCCACAATCGGTGTGGACACGGCTTCATCGCTGGGGAAGCTGTGGGTTTTTGTCTGAAAACATTTCATAATTTTACGACGAAAAGATATCGCACTACCTCTTCATCGATGGTATTGACACCAGAGACGGATGGAGTTGTTGCGACGTCTTCATGAGGGAGGGATGATTCACGGAAGATGTCTGTGCATGATGTACTAGCATCACAGAGAGTTGCTAGTTTGGCAGAAGTAGAGAAGATGGGTTCATGGATTGATGGAAGCAGCATCTGAGAGAAATATAGAGGCTCGAGAAAGTTAGGAAATGGCTTGGAACATACAGTAACATTTTTCATGTTTCTAATTTTTCCCCTACTAGTAATTCTTTCAATTTTTTCCTTCTAATTACGTTTATTCAAACTTTACTGTTTCATAACATTTGTAAAGATTACTTAAAATTCCTTATTCATGATAGACGTCTGAAATCCATCTCTGTCAGAACCTGACCAAGAAATGAAACTCACATTCAAATATTTTTCCCTACATTAATCCTTTTTATTATCGAATATTTTTTCCTTACAGTAATCCTTTCATTATTAATTGAATTGAATTTTGAATTTTGCCTAATTGATTTTTCAAAACTTTCATGTTTCAAAACACTTACAAACATTTCTCACAATCCCTTAATCATAATATAAATGACGACTTATTTGCAAATCTCACCTTTCCAGAATGTTCAATTTCTGCTGCTAAACTCATTGGTCCTGCATCAATTCCACTATCATTCGCATAACTATCTCTTCCGGTTAAGACGGTTAATTGCGTGGAACGACCAGCTGGAGAGAATTCCGAATTCTCCATTTCAGACGCCAACGAATCGTAGAGAGAATCGAAGGACACTGAAAAGACGATAAAAATCACAAAACTTCTAAAAAAAACTCACTTCTCAAATTTCCGGAACTTCTCAATTTGTTCAATTCTGATTCGGTTTCTGCGAAATTCGCCATAAGCTCTGCGTACTGATCCTGCATCTCTTTTAGCTCGGATTGCATGGTATCGTGTCTCTGAATCATTTCAATCAGAATTGCGCCCATTTCGTCTTTTTCCATTGAGATCTGCAAATATATATATATTTAGATGCACACTCAGAACACCGAATATTGGAAATCCAAAATTATTTAATTTCGTAATGTTTAGAAACTGTAATTTTCGCTGAACTCTACTCTGACTCCTTGAATGAAGAAAATGATCCAATAAAAATTACTAAATACAACTCGAAAATGTAGCGATTCTCATAAATAGCGAAAATTCTGACGAAGAAAAACGCGATATTGAAAACCGAACATATTTTGGTTATTAATTTTCAGAAACTGTATTTTTTTTCGCTAAAAACAAGGAATTATAAAACGCCTACGGTTTTTGCAAACACCATCACGTCCAAATACAGATTTGACCTCAATTATCTCAGTTCCTAGGCAAGATATGAAAAAGTTGTCAACTGATAAAATATTGATGATACTGTGACGAGTAATTTATCAGTTAACAACTTTTTTGTATACTCTAACAGTTAGAGTCTAACTCTTTGAATAGCAAAAATGACCCAATAGAAATATAATAACACTCGAAAATTTAAAAAAAATTTTGAAATAGCAAAACTCTTAAACAAAATGTACAGAATATTGGAAACCAAAATTAATTAAATTAATAATTTTAAGAAACATTTTTTTTTCGAAAAAAAATAACAGTAAGAAATTACATCCAAATGCCTAAAAACTCACCATCTTCTCCTTCTTATCCTTATCAGCCAGCTCACTCATCAATCTTCCAGTATTTTCATATTGTTGACAGAGTTCCGACGTCTTCTGCTCAATCATTTTTTGCAATTCCATCACTTTATCATTTGCATAATCTAATTGTTTTTCTAACTGATAAGTATTTTTCTTTTGAGCAGTAAAGATGGCAGTTTCCTGACGAAGTTGGTCACATTCTTGACGCAGTCTGAAAAATTTTTTGGAATTCATTTGTTGTTTCAAGTAATTGAGATAATGTTTGAAGGTTTACAAAAACCAATAGTACTTTGATTAGACCTTTTCTTGTAATCCCTGATTTCTGTCTGATTTCTAATTTGTCAACCTTCCCCACACTTATCAATTTAAACCCCCCGCAATCACTACTATCAGTTACTCTCTCGTTTATTTAACAAACCTCTCATTTTCCGATTTTGTGGATTTAAGACGTTCTCGAAGTGTCTCGTCGCTGTTTGATCTGCAATTAAACCATTTATTTGACCTTCGTTTTTTTTCTCAACAGAGCGTATTCACCTCGGAACACCCTCATCGTCAAGATGTGAATACACCCGGAGCAACTCGATTCGTTGATTTAGTTCATGTTTTAATTGAACTATGGTGTCCAGGTTCTTGTTGACACTCTCCTCGAGGAATTCATTTCTGGAAAAAAAATCATAAAAATATTAAAAGAGGCCAGACACCAAAAAAAAAGTTTTCCTGATATTTTGCATAGAGAACCCCCATGAGGTGTTGAACTCATGACAGGCAGCTCAGGGGTACAGCGCCGCTACCGGCTGAGCTACGGGGGCGCGAAGGCGCCTGACGACCGATGGTCTACATAAGCGCGGCGCGATTTCGTCCCCCGAAATTTTTGCTGTCTCGCCTCCTTTAAGACTTTGTATTGTTAACGAGAGTCCATATTTTATGAAATTCATTCTCGAATCAAAACTAAATCGGTTACTAAAGAAATTGATTATAGAAAATCACAAAAACCTGATAAGATTTTTGAAACAGAAACATTTTTTTCGACAGTTTACAAGGCTGCCTAACTGAAACTAAAACTCTATAAAAGCTCAGATTACCGTAAACAATCCAATAAAATGCTCCCAAACCATCAACCTTGAGCCAGTTTATCTCGATTCCTGTGAAAGGTATCAAAAATCTGTCAACTGATTAAAATGTTGGTGATATTATGATAAACATTCCGTCAATTGATCACTTTTTGATATCTTTTACGGAAATTGAGATATACGGGTTCAAGATTGACAGTTTGGAGTACATTCTAATATTGTTTACAGTAAATTTGCCGATATAGAGTACTCTCAAAGAATTAATTATTCAAAAGCACAACAAACTTGATGAGGCTTTTGAAACCGAAAAAATTCTTCTCGAAATTTTCTTGGAAAAAGCTAGCTGAAATTAAAGCTCCATAAAAATACCGTAAACCGTCTAATAGAAACTTGCTCAATATTTGAACTTTGAGCTCAGTTAACTCAATTCCTGTAAACGATTTCAAAAAGTGGTTTACTGATAAACTATTTTTGGTAATATGGTAAACATTTTGTCAGTTGACCACTTTTGAAATCTTTCAGAGAAAATGAGATATATGGGCTCAACGCTGACGGTTTAGGGGCACTCTAGTAGTGTTGACAGTAAATTTGCTGATATTGACTACGAAACATTGATTATGCAAAATAAAAAAAAACCGAAAAAAAACTTCCAGATTTGAAAAAAATAAGATTTGTTATTTTTTAAAATAAAGTTTGCTGAAACTAAAGCTTTTCAAAAGTTCAGAATGGCTGAAACTTATAATTGTTGTAGATTGATCATTATTTTCAGAAAATTACCTATTCTACTATTTCCAAAATTTTTACTGTTTCCCAAACATTTCTTGACTACACTTTTTCTGAATTTCGTTAATGCAGTTCTATGATTCGCTTGGTATCTTCTCAATATCTTTTCTAAATCCCTTCGATCCCAAATACCCACTTCATTAAAACCAAGTGTAATAGATACTTGAGAATCGTGGGGATTAGATGGTCCCTAATTAATACTCACTTTGTCTGAAGATCTTTGTTTTGGTCCAGCAACGATTGGCCGATCTTGGCGGCGAGTTCGAGATCGCGGTCTTTCTGAGAAGAAGAGATTATAATTTTCGAGTCATGTCGTATTGTCATTTGTGGGAGTTCTTGATTATCACAATTTTTGAATTTTCTATAATTATTCAGTGATAAAATCACTTTTAAAGGGGGACTCCGACCAAAAATTTTTATTGCATTAAAATGTGTTAAAAGTTATCTATTTTCCGAATATTATTGCGAAAAAATTCAAAAAAATTCCGAAATTCCCAAAAAACGCCGTTGAAAAGGAAGAAAATTCAAAAAAAGGTGCCGCCGGGGGACGAGGATTTTCAGTGAGAAACCTAGGCCACGGCAGCGGGCGCCTTTCCTATGTGGCAAATTTTCCGGATTTTTTTCAATTTCATGTCCGGCAGGTAAAAAACGTAAAAAACCACTGTCGGCGACTTGAAAAAAAGGCTGTCAGGTGCCGTGGCCTAGGTTTCTCACTGAAAATCCTCGTCCCCCGGCGGCACCTTTTTTTGAATTTTCTTCCTTTTCAACGCCGTTTTTCGGGGATTTCGGATTTTCTTTGAATTTTTTGGCAATAATATTTGAAAAATAGATAAATTTTAACACATTTTGATGCAATAAAAATTTCTGGTCGGAGTCCCCCTTTAACTTTGAGCACATATATCTCGGTTCTCGTGAAAGACATCAAAAATGTGCTCACTGATAAAACACTTCTGATATTCTGATAAACAATTCATCAGTTGACAACTTGCTCATATTTTTGACAGAAACCGAGATAAATTGGCTCAATTTTGAAAGTTAAGAGGCCCTTCTATGACAGGTTTTACGGTATTTTTTGCGGTTAATGAAGCATGAAGCTGATATCGAATTCGAAAATTCTAAATTTTTAAATTTACAATCTTGGAGTAAAAAGCATTATCAACATTTTAATTACAAAATGCTTAAAATTTTTATAAAACAGGAAATTTTTCAAAACTTAAAAATTTTTATTAATTATTTATTTTTTTAAAAGAAATTCAAGAACTTCCAGTTTTTTCTAGGTTTTCAAATTTTCAAGTTTTCAAGTTTTGAAAAAAAAACTCTCACCTTTTCTAGAATAACCATGAGTTCATTGCAGTCGATCTGCTCATTAAGAGCACACGACGGATCGAAAGGAGTTGAGTTTCTAGAAGGAGATGGGCTCATTCGGCACTCAGCCCAAACATTCGAAACACTGAAAAATTGGAGAGATTGATCTATGAAAAATCAAAAAAAAAAGAGAAAAGTTTTTTTAGATAACGAGAAAAAAAACGGGCGGTGGTATTTCCCACGGGAGAGAGAGAGGTAAAAGTGCTTGAGAAATAGAGAAAATAGATAGTAACAATACCGCTTTGTGTCTTTTTCTCTAAGAATTGTATGTTTGTACTTTTTGTTAGTAGTACCGAGAAAATGAGAAGAAAAGAGCGGAAATTAGAAGGAAAACGAGACGAACATGTGTTTGGTTATCAATGGTGTTTTTATGACAAGGCAATTAAAATAGAACCAATACATGGCGAGAGAGGTATCAATAGAGCGAAAATCCATTCATTAAAAATTTGAGACTTTAACTAGGAATATATATTTTCCCTGTTTCAAATTTTGCACAAGTTTACATAAAATCTTCAGTATTGTTTCCACTTCAGGTGTATCTTGATAAAAACAATTATTTTTATACTGTAAAAGCTGTAATAGAAGGCCTCCCTAAAATTTTACTTTGAGCCAATTTATCTCGTCTCCTTCGAAAGATATGAAAAAGTTGTCAACTGAGAAAATGTTTATCATAACATTAGAAACATTTTCTCAGTTGACACATAAAACTGTAACATAATCAAACTGGGCATAAGAAAACCATACTTAACAGGTCAGTGAAATAAAGTAGATTATTTCAGTTTTAATTCTGAAGAAACAATTGAAAAATCCGAAAAAAATTTCCCGTTTCTAATAGTAATTTACTAGAACAATTTTGACCCGAAAAACGATTTTCCAATTAGATTGAAGCTTCCTATTATAGCACGAACATACCGTAAACACTTTATTAGAACTCCCTCAAACCGTCAACTTTGAGCCTATATATCTCATTTCCTTTGGAAGATATCAAAAAGTGGTCAACTGACAAAGTGTTCATCATATTATCAAGTTTATTTTGTCAGGTGTCTACTTGTTGATATCTTTCACTGGAGCCGAGATAAATTTGCTCAAAGTTGAAAGTTAGGGGATCGTTCTATTAGCGTGTTCACGGTTAAAAAAATAGTTTAGCATTGGAGCGCACTTGCAAAAATAATCAACTCATAACGAACTAATTTGCTGACACACTCCAAAAAATAACTTCAAAAAACAAGAGTGAAATTGAGTCAGCCGTTGAGGGATAAAAACAAATATCTCGTCAATTCTTTAAGCCCAGCTACCACTAATCCGTATGATTCGGAATAGATTTGAATGGGAAATGAGATGAAGAAGAAGGCGACGACATTGGAATGCGTAGGAGAGAATTATGGTGGAAGGGAATGAATGGGGTGGAAAAGGAGAACATGCTTTGGAACAGGAGGATTTGGGGAAATTTTTAGAACCAAACTTTTGATATTTTTTTTTACTTGGGCGTTATTGTTAACGAGTTATCCCTTCGTCGTAATAACTTTTTAAAAAGACGGTGATGAAAATCAATTTTTTGAAACAGAAAAATTTCGGTGAATTTTAAATTGAAGGAAAAATCATCGTTACAGTCAAAGTTGCTCAGATCTGTAAAATCAACATATCACTTTCAGAAGAACTCTAGAAAATCTTATCAAGTTTTTGAAACAAAGTCTACCCGAGAAGTTTTCAAAACAAAATTACTGTGAGGAATTATATTACCGTAAAACCTCTAATAGAACGACACCCGGATCGTCCACTTTGAGCATATATATCTCATTTCTTTTGAAAGATATCAAAAAGTGGTTAACTAGTAAAATGTTTATCAGGATATCAGCAACATTTTATTAGTTAGCCACTTTTTGATATCTTTCACAGAAAATGAGATATATAGGCTCAAAGTGGACGATCCGGGTGTCGTTCTATTAGAGGTTTTACGGTACTACAAACTACTAATTTCTTGGTGTTGACCAAGTTGAAATGAAACTGCTGAAACAGAGAAAAATGATTAAAAAAAGCTTCATATGCCGAAAAACCTGTAATAGAAGGGCCAAAACACTGTCAAGTTTCACCTATGCAAGATATCCAAAATGTGTCAACTAACCAAATTTTGGTGATATCATGATAAATGATTGATCAGTTGACAACTTTCTTATATCTTTGATCGGAAACCAGATAAATTGGCTCAAAGTAAATAGTCAGGATGCCGTTCTATCACAGGTTTTACGGATAATCCTATTCATTTTCTAGCTTTTGAGATTGTTCTTTTTTGTATTTGTTCAATTGTTCAAATTGTTGGAAATGATTTTCAAAGCTAGAAATGTAACATTTTCTCAGTTCAACAGGAAATACAAAAAGTTTGTAAAAGCTTTTCAACAACTATTCGCTCATTTGGGAAAAACAAGAATTACTAGGTCTCCAAAATAAAAATTATTGTAGAAGTGATGAAATTTTTTAATCGAAATTTTTGTTTCAGTATATAATTATACTTTTGTGTAAACTAGAACGTGCGCTGCTGTCTTTGCTCAAGAATATCTAAACAAAAATGATGAAAATGATCTGAGCGCTTGGTTGGGATCTTCTCATTTTCAAAATTTCAGTTATACTTTATAACGTTTTTTCTAGCTTTTGAGGTTATTTTGGATTTTGAACTTCAATATGTTCAATCTACGCGAAATTTAATATATTTTAGGCTAAAAATGCAACTATTATGCTTGTCTGAGAAAAAAAAGGTTGAGATGCAGAGAAAAAGTGTCTGCGTCTCCACCGTTTGTGTGCTATTTAGGCTCTCCGCTTCGATATCGCTACCGTATTCAGACTGCAAAAATATTCTCTAACCTTTTTTTTCTCAGACAAGCATAGTATATCCAATTCAGCTGAGAATACTAAAAATTTGGAAAACGTCCTCAACAACTATTCGGTTATACAAGCAGGAATTAATTGAAATTTTTTAAGCTAAAAACTATTGTAAAAATAATGAAACGGAAAAACGTTTTTTTTTCAAAAATATTTTTTCGGTTTCAATAAGTAGTGATAGTTACTATACACACTGAATCGTTGATATTTTTGTGTTTTAATAATTTTTCTATTTTCTCAACTTTTTGACAATTGTCATCGTTTTATTCACTATTTTACATTGGAAAAATAGTGAAAATCGTCGAAAATTAGAAATAAAAGGTATAGTAGTTCGCTCTTGTGCCTTTAAGAAAAACTTAATGAGATATCCGTTCCCATTGATTTCCTACAAGAGTAATACAATTCCAAGACCAAAATAAATCATTTAAAACCCATGCAGTGCTTCAAAACCCAACAAAAAAGCGTCTTCTCTCTCCAGAAATCTAAACATAACATCTAAACAAAAAGCGATGAAAATGATCTGAGCCTTTTCTATATAAAATGCACACATGACAAAGAGAGGGATAGATATCCGCCAAACACAAACATAATATTCAAATCAAAAGGATAGGTGTCGTCTTCGTGGGGTTGCGGCTCACTCAAGGGAAATCGAAACCAAACAAATCTTGAGAGAGAATAAGAATTATTATTATGACAGATTGACCTATTTTCCATGAGGTGCGAAATGAAATCGTAATATGAAAGATTTTTCTTAGCTCCTGGCTCCTCAGAGAGCTCAAGAGACGTGAGAAATGGTTGAACAATGTGTGTATACCTGACAGGCAAACATGTTTTAGTTTTGTACTACTTTTCGGAAGGCGAGATATTTGTAGACTATGGGTCTGTGTATTTTAGGGTTTTCGAACATTTTGTGTGGTGTGAAGAGAACATGGGTTTTAACAGAAAACTACACGTAACTTGTAGGTCGGAATGGTTAGGTATGACGTGTGGGAATTAGAAGGTTCGAGGTTGGGAAAGAGCAAAAATTAGAAGATTAGGGTATATAGGCTGTAAGCAATCGATAGGCTGTAAGGAATCGAAAACATATAAAATTTGATTCAATTTCTCTAGAATTTGAAACAGAGATCTAATGTTTGGGTACAGAAAAATCGTAGCTAGGTTTCACTACGACAATTACCGTAACCTAAAAATATGTTTATGTTCGAGGTTTTCTTGCGTTTTCAGACAATTTTTCACATTCAAGATTGTTTACTTTCTGACTTGATTGGGGAAAATAACAGAAAAGCTGTGAAAAACGATAAAATATTAACGGAAAAGAAGCATATTTTTAGGTTACGGTAGTTATCATACAAGATTATAATGAAGATAAAAGTGAGGCAGGAGATTCACAATAGAGCGCACTTGCATTATATGGCGGTTGAGGAGCTCAAAAAAAATTTAATTTTTGGATGCAGTACCAGACAAAAAATATATCTAATTTTCAGTGGAAGATAGTGAACTTTGCAGTCCCGAAGATGGAATCTAGAGCTTTCGATCTATCTGGAAACTTCAGGGTGTAATCAACAAAGCTAGAGCAGTACTGTAATCTGCATTTTTTTAAAATAAAAATGCAAAAAAACGAAATTCTATGTTTAAAAGGGACATATCGTAAACACTCTAACAAAAAGGCACCCAATCCGTCAATTTTAAGTTCTTATAGCTCGGTTCCTATAAAAGTAGATAACTGATGGAATGTTACTGATATTATGATAAACAATTTATCAGTTGACAAACTTTTTGATATCTCTTATAGAAGTTGAGATAAATTGGCTTAAAGTTGAAAGTTAGAGGACCCTTCTATTACAGGTTTGACATTGTGTTTTTGAAAACCCTGACAACACATTTGTGTTTTTTTTAAATTTAGAAACAGGAAAATTGGGAAAAAATTGTTTCACTGACCAAAATTCTGGTCTTGAACCAAGGGAATTTTGAAATTACTATTCTTTTAAAATGTTTTAAAGAATCCCTCCACATTCCTTTCAAAACGACAATTAGCCAAAAATAATAAAAGGGTTTTGAACTTTCCTACAGGTAAGAGTCATATGGTTTCCGTCTCAAAAACCGAAAGGAAACAAAAAAAAAAGAAAACGTTCCGATAATTTGAGTAGGCAATTTCTCTTTTAATCTGGTCTGATCACGTGTGGAGAAGACGACATAAAAAAATTGTGGGTAAAAAAGGGAGAAACAAATTAGCAACATTTGGAAGAAAAAAGACAAAAAGAACAATTAGGATTAAAAATGACGTAAATTTGGAGGTTGAGACATTTTTTCTGTTTCAAGAAATTGACAAATGAAGCTTGATAACTTGAAAATTGCTGGATATCCTATACAAGCAGACTTCTAAATTATTTTCTCTGAATTCAATTTGAAATTTAAGGGTTTCAACACAAAGAGGAGTTTCAACTTTGAGCTAGCTTATCTCGATTTCTGTAAAAGATATCAAAAAATTGTCAACTGATAAATTATTTGTCATAATATCACCAATATTTTACTAGTTGACCACTTTTCAATATCTTTTACAGTAATCGAGATAAATGAGCTCAAAGTTGAAGATTTGGAATATTTAGCTTTTTTAGGAAATAGGTATAAAAGCGGCTTGTATTTTTTTCTGTTTCTAAATTTTTTGTTTTGGTAGAATTCCATAATATCTCAATGAATCTATTGCTAAATTCTAAAAATCAAGGTTTCAAGATCAAAAATCGAAATGTGACCTCGTTCTTTTTTACACTCTATTTTTATCAACGTTATCAATGATTGCCTTAAGCTAACCTCGGCCGATTACAGACCTTTATAAATCGCCCAAAAAAATATCACAGAAAAGTAGGTATACTGTATTTTTCTGATGCATCAAATCAAAAATAAATTGGCTCAATAATACTTTTGAAATCAACTGATAAGAAGAGCACTACAAACAACCCAAAAGCAGAAATGCATGTGTGTCAGAGTGCCAGGTGAGGTGTGTCGAGCTGGAAAAATTATGGGTTTTTTCTTAACGAAAAAATGATGATGATGATAAGGAAATGATAAGAAGGATCTCGTGATGATGAGGTAAAATTTGGGGGAGAAGCTGAGGGGATACGGTAGAAAAAAGGGATTTATATGGGAAATAAGGAAAAAATTGTAACTGTTTCAAAACTTGCATTTGAAATATAATAGAACAAAGCTTATAATGAAAAGATCTGACGGCATGCTAATTAACGGAAACAAATTCCAGAATATTGTTTAATAATTTTTTGAACTCCCGCCAAATCTAAAGATTCTAGAACTTCAAATGCACACTCTTCTACAGTAAATAAAAACGAAAATTACGAGTCTCATATCGACATTAAGGCTTCCATTTCGGTCGGTCGAAAATCGCCGACCGCCGACCGACCACCGACCCAGCCGACCGACAGCCGACCGAGCTGAAATGAAATGAAACGGTAAAGAACATTCTAGAAATATTTAGTTTCATCGCCTTCCTTTTCTTAATTTTTGGAAAACTTTTCTATTTCATATCAACTTACATAATCTCTAAAATATCCCGAAATTGGTCCATAATCACAGATAGCAGAATAATAAAAAGTAAACCTAAACTCTAAACCCCATTAAAATTGTTTAGTAGTGTAGGCGGAGTGAGACAGCAAAAAAATGCATGCGTCATTTCTTAACACTTTTCTCTTCTCCCCCTTCTTCCATTCCTGCTCTATGAGCAATTGTTGTTCGGAGCAAATTGAAAAGAATTGGAATTGGAGCTCTCTCTCTCTCGTTTTCTCATGTTTTCATGCCTTTATTTGCTCTATGTGGTCTGGGTCTCACACTCTCTCGTCTTTTTCATTATTTTTTTTTCGATCACAGAGCTTTTTTTCGGAGACAAGAGGCAACAATTGTCTGGTGTGACAGAATTGAATATGGGAACGCGGACTAAAATCTGATGTTTAAAAAATTTTACTTAAAAGGAGTTTAAAGGTGGGGGGACATAAAAAAATAATGTTCTCGAAATTCCAAGATGCCCCTCGATTCAAAGATGCCCCTCGAGGAGTTGAACTTGTGAAGGCGATGATTGAGGGTGCGGCGACGCTACCGACTGAGCTACGCGGGCAAAGAGAAAGCGGAATCCCAATTGCATACATAAAGGCGAGGACGACAGGTGTACGCAGAGTGACATTAAGCGTTGTACACCGTGACGGTAGAATGCATACTCTAGCTACAAAAAAACTACGAAAAATCTCCTGTCCCCCCACCTTTAAGTTATCAAAGAGAAGAAGCCTAGTAACCTAAAATGAAACTTTGAAACAGCGAATTTTCTAAAAATTGTAAAAATCATGTTATTCCAGTTCAAAAAACTCGGAGATGTGGAAGAGAAACGTTGGTACCCTTGTCCAAAGGTCCCACAACGACAACTACCGTAATATAACAATTTAGCTATTTTTCGAGAGAAAAACTCATTTTTACTCGATTTTTTGCAAAATTTTTAGACCTTTTTTGAGTTTTCAGCTGTTTTCAAAGATTATTTTTCGATTTTTTCGGTTTTTTTTGTTTGAAATTTGATGGAACGCTGTTTGGTTACTGTAGATTATTGTAGAAACCGAATTTCCATTAGTAGTTTTTTTGTGCAAACACAATCACGTCAAAATACAGATAAACGGGATTTCGTTTGCAAAAAAAAACTACAAAATATGAGTTTTTCTACAGTAATCTACAGTAATCTTCCGTCAAGAACACCATCCCGTCAAATTTCGGACAAAAAAAACGGAAAAATCTGAAAAGAATCTTCAAAAATAGCAGAAAACCTTAAAAAGGTCTAAAAATTTTGCAAAAAAGCGAAGAAAAACTCAATTTTTCTTCCGAAACACGCTAGATTTTAAGATTACGGTAGTTGTCGTTGCGGGACCTTCGGCCACGGCCACCAGGGGTTTCTTGTCCACAGCTTTGATGTTTTGTACTATAGTTAGTCTAATCGGAGACTGTAAACTACTAGCCTATTTATCCCTCAATACCTCTCAACTTTTATATGAGACGGTGATTTTTTCTAGAAGTTGAAAAAGTTTGAGCTCATTAGAAAAGAATTTCAACCTTGATCTAAACATATTTACTTCAAACATGGATACTTCAAACGAAGAAAATTGCGAAAGACTACTGACATAATTAATATTTAATGAGTATTATAAATTCTAGGAAACAGGTATTTTATTTTCGAAGTTTGAAAAGCAATTTGAGCTGCTGAAAAATGGAGCATTTTGAAGGAACTAATGGAGCAAAAAGTGATATCGACAGCTGACACCATCAGCTCTTTTTTAACTGGGGTCGCTCAACAGAAGTTTGGAAAAAAAACGAAGAAGAAGAAAAGTAGAAGATAAAGTTTTATATTTCTCTCTCTATCTCTCTCTCTCTCTCTCTCTCTCTCTCTTTTTCACGGAATTCGATATTCTCAAGTTGAGGATGAAAAGTCAACTATAGAAGATTCGCAGAATTTAATGAGCAAAATTCAAGCTACAACTATAAGGTACTGAAAAAAAGTTTCATTGATTTCCAGAAAATGTTGATTTCTTAACAAAAGTTTTCAGTGAATCAGTATGGAATAAAATTTCATACTGAAACTGTATTTTTTCCTTCTACTACAGTTAGGTAGTTTTTGAGTAATCAAAAGAAAACAGAAGAGGCGAAGTGTGAAAAAGTAGTGATAACCGGATTTCTACATGTTCACATTGACTCAACTCCCTCCTCGCACGTGTTTTTCCCTCCAAATTATTGTATTTTTCGTTCGCTGTTTTTGAGTCAAGAATTAGAATTCGGGAGGAGTTGGTGGTTGTTTACTAAAAGATTTTAGAGAGTATTTTCTACAAATCAAAGAAAATCCGAAATCCCCGAAAAACGTCGTGGAAAAGGAAAAAATTCAAAAAAAGGTGCCGCCGGGGGACGAGGATTTTCAGTGAGAAATCTAGGCCACGGCAATTGACAGCCTTTTTTTCAAGTCGCCGACAGTGGTTTTTAACGTTTTTTACCTGCCGGACATGAAATTGAAAAAAATCCGGAAAATTTGCCACATAGGAAAGGCGCCCGCTGCCGTGGCCTAGGTTTCTCACTGAAAATCCTCGTCCCCCGGCGTCACCTTTTTTTTGAATTTTCTTCCTTTTCAACGCCGTTTTTCGGGGATTTCGGATTTTTTTTTTGAATTTTTTCGCAATAATATTCGAAAAATAAATAACTTTTAATAAATAACTTGCAATAAAAAATTTTGGTCGGAGTCCCCCTTTAAAACTGAGAGAGCTTAGAAAGTTTTGGTTTACCAATAATCTATGAACTGAAAAGACAAAAGAAGAAACCTAGATAAGTTATTTTTGAAACTGTAATTTTTTTAAGTACGAGTCCAAAAAATAAGGTTGTAGGTGTGAACATTGAGGGAAAACAATGACATAGAAAAAAGAAGGAAAAGCATGATCCGTGAGAAAAGTTGTAGGAAATTTCGAGTTCCGGAGAAAATATTGAGAAGGTAATGGAAACAATAAGATTTCAGACGGGTACCAAGTAGTAACGAAATGCTGATAAAATTATAAAACTTTCTGAAAATTTTGATACAGCGGAAAATTGAAAAACCATTGTTGTTAAAAAGCTCTTGAGAACTTTTTCAGAGGCCGTATTCATGAACATTTTCCTTGGAAAAAAGTGTTCTTTCCGAAAATCAACTGAAAAGGCGTGAAAATTGAAGGAAATTCGTTTTCTTTTTGGAAAATCCTCATATTTTCATGAAATAGGTATACTATTAGGTTGGCGGGAAAGTCTTTGTCACTCTGTTTGTTTAATCACTGTTCTCGTATATGGAGGCTGTGTATGATATCGACTCTAGTGAATAACAAGGTGATAAGAACCTTCCATATAAACAAGTCCCCATCTCCTTCCCTGCTCCTCATCTGTAATTGAAACGATATGTTTGTTCCCACTGCTATTCACATCAGACATGTTTTGATTTACCTCTTCCTATCTCACACCACGATGAAGGATTCGGAAACTTTCTTGAAGAATGTGTACAACACACATGCCCCTCACTACAATACTATTCGCAATTGGTTCCATCGTTTCGAAAAAGATGACTTCTCGCTCGATGAAAAGGATCGCTCTGGGAGACCCCGTGAGTTGGATTTGGACAAGCTGAAGCACGCATTGCAATCGGATCCATTTCAATCTAGCCGTGAACTAGCTGTCACATTCGGAGTTCACCATAGCACAGTCCTTGAAGGTTTGAAGTCTCTTGGAATGAGAAAACTTTNTGGTCGATTCATACCTCATCACCTGACTCAAGCCACCCTTGACCGCCGAGTCGACGATTCGATTACTCTTCTCACTCTCCACGCGGGCGATCGATGGCTGGACCGGCTAATAACCGGAGATGAGAAGTGGGTCTTCTACGATAATCACCACAGGAAATCCCAGTGGGTTGGAGAAGGAGAGAGCCCACAGGATGTCCCAAAACCCGACCTTCATCCGAAAAAAGTTATGCTCTCTGTGTGGTGGGGAGTGGACGGCCCCATCTACTGGGAACTTCTGCCCGAGGGCAAAACAATAACTGGAGACCTCTACACTACTCAACTACGAAACCTCAAGAAAGCAGTCGACCGTTCGGCCCTGAAAGACAAGAAAGTGTACTAGCAACATGATAACGCTCGCCCACATGTTTCGAAACAAGTGAAGCAGGAGCTGATGGGATATGGATGGAATGTTCTCCCTCACCCCCCGTATTCTCCTGATCTTGCTCCTTCCGACTATTGGTTATTTGGCGATATGACACGTGCCTTCGAAGGAAGAAGCTTCAATTCCCGTGGAGCGGTCGAAGCGGCACTCAAACAATACTTTGCCTCACGCCCGGCTGGATTCTACCGCAATGGAATCCATAAATTGAGGGAACGTTGGAGACATGTTGTTGATAATGATGGACAATATAATTAATTATTCGGTTATTTTTTCTTTGAGAAATAAACTATTGAAAAAGGACAAAGACTTTCCCGCCAACCTAATAATTTTGCTGCATGTTTACAGTCAATTTTATGAATTTTTGGATTCTAAAAAGTTGTATGTTGATAGAATAACATATCAAGTGCTTTATTAACTAATGTTAAATCTAAAAATTGCTGCTCTTCAACTTAAAAGCTATGTTTTTTGACACAAATCACTGTTGAAAAATTTTAATCCATTGAAGATTCTAGACAAACCGCATATTTTTGATTTTGCTCAAACTATTGTCATTGGTCCTTTTCGGCACGCTGATTACAAAACTGAAGTCAGTTTTTCCACCCCGGCCTTGTGAAAAAGGTTATGAGCTACAAAAGTGACTACAGTACTAATTTCTCATTTTTGGAGTGAGTTTCTGAAGGAGTTTTTGATTTTTTTTTGGCTATATTAAAATGTTATCCGTATTTTGCATGCTTTTCTACAATCTGAAGAGGTTTTCTCTTTTTCTCGGAAAAACATTTTTTTAGAAAATCGCCATGGTACCCCCTTGGCATTTTTTCAATTTTCGAAAAAATTTTTTAATGTGCTAGAATTAGTTCAAAAAAAAGAACCAATGAAAAATTTGTTTCACGAGATTCGATGATTCGATAATCTATGTTCATTTCTACAAGTCAGATACAGTCACAGGAAAAAAACGAAGAAGAAATTCAACAAAAACTTTAGCAGCTCGAGGGAGTCGAACCAGAGAGTACCCGCTTCATATTCTTCCTCACTAACCATTCGACCACGCTTCCACATTCTTTCAACGCTTCAAAACTTATATACGTGAGGAAGGAAAATGAGATGAAAGATCCACGTCATTTTTCGAAACTTTCGACCCAATTTTCTCGAAAACTACCGCGACAATGCACTTTTTGAAAACAGATTTGGAATCAGGAAAATGTCAGCTTTCAGATGATATAGGTCACCACCCGTATCGCCACACCCGAGTTGGGGCCTTCCCTAGTCAGCTGTTGAAAAATTTTAATCAACTCCTTGAGAGGTATCTAATAATGGAATTTCAGAAAAATTATTTGTTTCATGTTCCCAATCCTTCAATTAGTGAACTAACGAAGCTCTCGTAAAATCAAGAAACTTACTAGAAATTTGGAAACAGGGAAAATTTGGAAAGTCGTATATATTGAAATACGGAAGTTTATAAGTAAATTTTTTATTAAACTGTGAATTTAAGAACAATCTTCGAGATTTTTGAGCGGAAATTCTAAAAAGTGAGATTTCAGAGAGAAGCCAGAAAGCGTAATGGTAACTTCGAAATTTTTAACCAAAGATTTATGATGATTTTTTGAAACGGAAAAAGTTTTTGAAAAACTCAATTTTTTCACTGAAACATAATTCGGAAAAGACTCGACCAAATCATTGAAATGTGTGATGAAACGCGAATAAATATATTTTTCAAATTGGCGGT